GGGGGGGGGGAAGGGGGGAAGGAGAAAAGGCAATGGTCAGTCAAAACCAAAGAGAAACAACAGGAGATAGGGCTGCCTTGGGGATTCATGTCACTGTGTAAGAGCCACGGCAAGAAATAATAATGCTTTGGCAATCCATATATCCAAGTCCTCATGAATTTGGATGCTCAATGAATCAATAGAATTTTGCAATTTGTTAAGTCTGAGAAGTTTACAGAGGAAATCAGGAGATCTATTTCAGTTGCTGAATAAGCAAGAGACAGAAAAATGATTTGTCTGAAGTCATCCAACAAGCAGTAATAGACCAGAGAAAACCAGCTCCTGCCCACCCCTGTCTCAGGCTTTAGCTAGTCACCTCTGCTTACATATGGAAGTCCAAATAGATGGTGGGTTCAGGAGAGCTTTGCAGAAAGGCTGCAGGCTGACATGCTACATTTGTAGTTCTGAGAAGGAAGATGTCTGGCTAGACTAACTATCCAGAACATTCCTCTCCTGCCAATGAAACATTTTCTGGTTCTGTCTTGTTCAGTTGCTTTAGGGTGCACTGGATGGGGAAAGCGTCTCCCTGGAGCACTAATGTAACACAGTGTTGAATTCTGATTAGTGATCACATATCTACTAGTCTAAAAATGTGCACAAATGGTTACTTACCCAAATTTTTGTAGCCCCTTCCATTAATCTCCACCGAAGATTAACTAACTACAAACAACTTAAGCACCCCCAGCCTTCCACTGGGCTGCTTAAGTCTTTCTAATCCACAAAGTTGTAAACAATTTTTATTTGTTGGCAGAGATTTAAATCCTCCTATTTTTGTACGTCAGCCAACTCACAGGACTAATGGATGAGTTAAAGAAAGTTAGACTTCTGGTCGTCAAGGGTAGCTGACACTGACTTTTAGCTAAGAAATTATCCAAGATAAAACCAAGTATTGCTCCATTCCAACATGGATCCTATGACTACAAAACATTTCACCAATTTTTGGCTTTTTACCAATTTACAAGTATATAATTAATTGTTGGAAAACATAAGGGAGTTGTGAGAAGTTCAGTCCAGGAGCAGGGAGACAGAGATGTGGGATTCTTGGCCCAGCACTGTTCATGGACAGGCGGCTGCTTCCTCCCCCTGTCTGACTCCTCCTTCTCTGCTTACTGCTGAGAAATCTCTCCAGTCTAACGAGGACCCACACTTCAGTGTTTGAGCTTTCAAGTGTTCAACAACAAACAACTTCAGCAGAAAAGAGCATTTAGGAACTTGCTTCTCTTACCTCAAGTCTGGTTCTGTCTACATCTTTTAGTATTTTATTTCTCCCTCTGTTGGTCACCATGAGTATTTCATATGGAAAAATCTGTTAACAACGTATAAAAGGGGGAAAAAGAGATGTATTTATATTCTAAAGCAAAAAGAACACAATGTGTCTCATTTGCATAACCACACAAACATTTGGTTTCTTTTTCAAAGGAAATCACAGCACTTTTGTCCCCTGAAGTTGTATGAAAGACAAGCCCAATCTGGACATAGCAAGAACTTGTTTAGTATCAAATTGCCTCATATTGTAGAGCCACTGTGTACTTGCCCACGTGGCATATAATACAGCTGTCTTTGGTCAGACAGTTTGCTCTAGTCAACATTACCTTCTCATCCAGCAAAGTATAAACTTAAAGAGTTTATTAAGGTATTTATCACTCATTGGTCTAACTAATGGTTGCCAAAGTGTAGACAGCTCTAAGGAAGCAGATACTTGGCAGACTTCTAAAAATTAACCACATGAAAGTACATCAGAAAAAGTATCAACTCTGAATGAGAAAGATATTGATTAGTGGGGGCCAGTGCATTTATAAAAATTCATCAAATTATTTTCTTTGCCTTTTTGGATAGTTAAAGAATTCAAACAACTGCCCACTGTGCTTGCTGGCTGTGCCATACGTACATAGATTAAAGGAGATACTTTTGTAGACATATCTGTCTTACACGTCTTCACCTGCTCCAGAAGAGTATGTGTCCAGCACATCTCCCATTACATTTCCCTTGTTTTCCCTTTACATTGCAAAGAATGTCCAGAATTTATACAAATCAGTTATTGGCCAATAATCAATTCCTGAATGCATAAATGATTTTAATTCAGTTTTACAAGTTCTCTGTTTGAATTCTCTGTAAAATTATAACTTTCAGTGAGTCTCAAATCACAGTTTAATCCAACAGAAACAATGCTGCTTAGAAAGGATTTCAGAAAACCATGTACCTTCCATGTACCTTAAAATAAATTTCTGGAATCATCCCTGGCAAATAAAACTCTGCTTTAGGATTTTTGTTCTTGGGCAGACACTTCCTCAAATGTCTGGAATGACCCAGGAGAGCTCCTGTTCCATCTGACAGAGCCTCCCTGTAGCTCTTCCCATTGCATGTCTCTGCAGAGCAGGCGAACCACATTCCCAGTGAGGTCCTCACCCAAACCCCACTGAAGTCAATTAAATTCTTCTGCCGACTTCAGTGGGGATGATCTCAGTCTTTATTGTTATTTATGAGTCTTGTTTACTCTCCTGGAGAGACAGCTGAGCTACTATCAAATGCTATTTATTCAATTATTTTAACATCAGAAGAAATTAAACCTAAACAACTTCTGTGCAGAACTAGGCAATTAAGGTCATTCCATTGTCAAGAATTATCCCAATGAACTTTTCAGAAATGTAATAAATAAGATTCAGGCATCAATGAACACACCACTGAGTTTATTGTAAGTAATAATAATCTAAATAATATGTGCTTACATACCAATTGTGAGATAAGATTCTTAGGAGATTCTGACATTGTCACAATTGTACAATTAAGTCTATACTTTGAAGTACATTATGTTTGATACTGGAAACAGCTACCATATACAGCATTATAGGAAGCTAAAATGTAACTTTTCATATTTAAACAGGCAGAATTTAAGTCAAAGTCTACGGTCATTAGTACATTTTATATTTAGATATTCACAACAAGACATGTCTCAATCTGGGGTGGCAGGATGCACAAATTCTGTCCCTTCTGGAGAACCGTTTGTTAAGATTTGGTTATTCTTAAGTTTGCTAATTTTCACTTTTCACATGTTTCATGCTGACTTTGAGTTGGCTTCTTTTACTTTATCAGGTTCAAGTTAGTGTTGGACCACTGACATGAATAAAAATACTGCCAATTCACACAGACTGAGGGTCTAGCATCACCTTTATAAACATCAACAGAAAGTGACCTGTTAGCTCATGAAAATTCCCATAAATTTTATCACTAATGATACTGACAGAATTTGTCACCCAAAATAACATTCCAAATCACTGGGTGCATCAACAGCAGTGGTGCCTGTAAGATTTCTATTGATAAATTACTCAGAATAAAAAGTAGTATCTCAGGAGTTGGGGATGTCCCCAAGGTCTCATTTATATAATATATAAAAACACTTGTTAATATACATTGCACTGGGCTCTCAGCTTATAAAGCTAGGGTTATTGCCTTGTACAGTTTGTCTGGAGGCGACTCGGAAGCACAAGTAGTAACGTGGTTTGCAAAATGAGCTCCTCATTTAACTGCAGAAATGCTGATCCTCGTAACTCTTGCAAAACCATGACTTTTCAGAAGGTTCAGC